GAACATAATCCATGCACATGTGTGAATATTAACATAATTCAAAGCACATGTGCCAATATTAACATAATCCATGCAAATGTGTGAATATTAACATAATACATACACATGTGTGAATATAAACATAATCCATGCAAATGTGTGAATATTAACATAATCCATGCACATGAGTGAATATTAACATAATTCGAAGCACATGTGTGAATATTAACATAAACCATGCAAATGTGTGAATATGAACATAATCCATGCACGTGTGTGAATATGAACATAATCCATGCACATGTGTGAATAGTAACATAATACAAAAAAACGTGCAAATATTAACATAATTTAAAAACGTGTGAATATGAACACAATTCAAAGCACATGTGTGAATGTTAACATAATCCATGCACATGTGTGAATATTAACATAATCCATGCACATGTGTGAATATGAACATAATTCAAAGCACATATGTGATTATTAACATAATCCATGCACATGTGTGAATATTAACATATCCATGCACATGTGTGAATATTAACATATCCATGCACATGTGTGAATATTAACATATCCATGCACATGTGTGAATATGAACATATCCATGCACATGTGTGAATATTAACATAATCCATGCACATGTGTGGATATGAACATGATCCATGCACATGTGTGGATATGAACATGATCCATGCACATGTGTGAATATGAACATAATCCATGCACATGTGTGAATATTAACATAATCCATGCACGTGTGTGAATATTAACATAATTCAAAGCACATGTGCCAATATTAACATAATTCAAAGCACATGTACCAATATTAACATAATCCATGCAAATGTGTGAATATTAACATAATACATGCACATGTGTGAATATAAACATAATCCATGCAAATGTGTGAATATTAACATAATCCATACACATGTGTGAATATTAACATAATTCGAAGCACATGTGTGAATATTAAAATAATCCATGCAAATGTGTGAATATGAACATAATCCATGCATATGTGTGAATATTAACATAATCAATGCACATGTGTGAATAGTAACATAATTCAAAAAAAGTGCAAATATTAACATAATTTAAAAAACATGTGCAAATATTAAAATAATTCAAAGCACATGTGTGAATATTAACTTAATAAAAAAAACATGTGCAAATATCAACATAATTCAAAGCACATGTGCACATACTAATAGATTAATATTATTTTGATTCAAATGTCCCCATGCATAATTAATCACATAACACGACATGCTGTGTCATACTTACAGTCATCATAAACTCTGTACAATAATCGTCTACAAAAAATACCAATCACAATAATGATGAAAACCAACATGGCTAAACCTATCATAACACCAACTATTATGAAGAAAGTATAGGCTGCGTGAGATGCTTCTGGTGACAGTCTGTGTAGATCTGCAAAATACAAATGTTGGTTGAAATGTTGAGTATTATGATCAGCTTACTCAAAATACAACATGCAAATTTGCTTATTATTATGCGCAAAATGTAATTAATTATTTTTAAAGTTTAACTGTGTGAAATAACAGTCAAATTATAAGGCATATATTCACATTAAACACAAAGCGAAATATAACAAATATTCCAGAGAATTAAGTCAACTTTTGTCATTTCCACAAAAGGAAACCAGCAATAGTAGGCAATGGAAAGTTATCTATTTGATTAAATTAACAAGAAAATTAGAGATAAAAACATAGAAATTATGCACCCAAATATATGGTATTCAGAGTAAATGGTTTATTAACACAGAAACTTATCAATAACATAATGTATTGTTTAACCTTTTGTGAGCACCATTGTCAACTTTTGGCACCAACTAAAAAATGATTTTGTACAGTCGCGCCATATGATATGTTGATGAAAATTGACAAACATTTTGATCAAAAATTTCACAAAATATTAATTTAAATATTTAGTTTTTGTTGGGAAAAATATGTAAATGTCATTGAAAACATTCCAGGACAAATTTTGACAGTTGTGTGGGACACAATTACCTTTATTCTCATTTTTATCTTTTGACTTAACCTCTTGGGCTGACCTTGATGAACGTGATGGACCTACAGTGAAATTGACTGATGTTATATTGCCACTGCCGACTTCATTAACAGCCCATATGTCCAGCTCATATTGACCTTCAACTTCAAGGCCTCCCAAAACATAAGATGAATCCTAAAATCAAGATATGGATAAATTTGAATATTAATACTGAAAACAATTAAGCCAAAGACATTGATTGGCAGTCATTATTTGAGTGGATATTTCAAATTTTTTTTTTTTACATTCAAATGAGTTCCTGTCCATGTTAAGTGTTCATGTGACTATTTGATTTAAGTTAATGTATTAATGCATGGTTATAATAAGAACTGCATCAAAAAGAAGAAAAACTTGATATGTTTACACTTTCAGAAGTCAACTTTTGTTAACATTAACAAAATAAACCCTCAGAACTTTTTCTATTTTGTTTTTCAAAAACGTTTATGAAGTTGCCTGTAAGGCAATGGGAAATATCGTACTCGACCGCGTTAGCGCCCAGGGTCCTCAACTCATAAAATCAGGATTTTTTAGGGGTGGGCGCTTACCTGAGCACCCCCCTCGTACTCGACCGCGTAAGCGCCCAGGGTCCTCAACTCATAAAATCAGGATTTTTTAGGGGTGGGCGCTTACCCGAGCATAAAAAAAGTGAAATAAAAATACATCAAAGAAAGCTTAGAAAGAACTCCCATGTGCTAGTATTAGAGACACAGTAAAAGTTAATTCAAAATTACTTGTACTTGAGATATTGATGGAAAAGCTGGAAACTAATTATGCAAATCAGAAAAATGAACAGATTTGAGTGGTCTGCACAATGTAACAGACCAAGTTTTATTGAAATGTGATCAGAACCCAAAATTATGAATTATTATGCTAAATTAGGGAATTAATATGAACAGATTTTAACCCAAAACTGATCATATTTGTACATTGTCCTAGAGCATCTATGTACAAAGTTTCATTGAAATGTGATGATTAGTACTTGAGATATCAGTGTGAAAGTTGAAAATAGATTAATTATGCAAATTAGGTGAAATTAATATGCATAAATATACAAATGTATACCAAAAACCAATTGGCTCTCTGCATAGTTTAGATTTATTTAAAGGTGATGATTAGTACTCGAGATATCAGTGGAAAGGCTGAAAATTAAATTATGCAAATTAGGTAATTAATATGTACAATTATTTACCCCAAAACTAATCAGGTCTCTGCATAGTCCTAGAGGACCTATGTACAAAGTTTCATTGAAATGTGATGATTAGTAAATGAAAATCAGCAAATTAATTATGCAAATTAACTGGCAACTAGCTTTCCTATGAATATGCGCCTATTATTTTAGAAACTGACTTTTTTTTATTTGTATAGATTGCATAAATATATATCATTCATCCTTTATAAAATGGTATTTGTCCAATGCATCACGTGAACTGTTAAATTGGCCAGTCAATGAAAATCAAGCTGGCAGATTAATATCCACAATGCAGTGTCAACAGGAAGTGGTCACAAAATTACCTTAGGATCCAACGTAATCAAGGTAGTCTCTGACTGCATCTGACCATACTGCAGGTTAATAGTTGTAGCTGGATACTCAGTGTTTCTATGGCAACCTTCTACATGATAGTTTATTCTGACTGTGTGACTGTCAATATTTTCAATGCTGATATTTACTGCATTTGGAGGTGCTTTATGTCCAAGGGAAGCAAAGGCATTATTAGCATTGAGAAAGCATATCAATGATTAACCTTTTGGCCTTTAACTCTTTGACATTTAACCTTTTGAACCCTAAAGTCAACCTCAAAATAAACTTACATAATTTCATCCAGATTTTTGCAAAAAATTTGAACAGATATGTAGCCAATTGAAAATTTGTTCCATTTGGTCTGAAATTATCTAAGAAATTACAAAAAATACTTGAAAATGTGAAAAAAAAATTGCATCAACATAAAGAAGCAATCGTGATCATCCCACATAAATCTACAACATCTTTTGGGAATTGTCTTGGAGTAAATCAAGGACATGCATAGACTGGCCCAGCTGTGGCAATTTTATAAACTTTCTTTTTCCTAAATCATGGATTGACATGAATTACCACGACTGAGGCATATTCTTTATTTATGATATACAGTGACGTTTTGGAAGCTGGGAGTGAAACGCTTACAAAAAAGGAAAGTAGATGTGTGCGTCATGTCAAATTAATGTGAGTTTTTCTCATAAAATATGGACCAAACTACCGTACCGTGTGGTTGGTGGTTGGTTACTTGGTTGGTTAATTGGTTGATTGGTTGGATGGTTAATTGGTTGATTGATTGGATAATTGGTTGACTGGTTAATTAGTTGGTTGGTTGAGGTTGGTTGGTTAATTGCTTGATTGGTTATAATTGATTAGTTTGATTAATTGATTTCCTTATTTATTTACTCTGTATTTCTATGTTTAGTTCTATGTATTATTTATTTACTGTTGTGACTAGTCTTTGTAACATTTTTTGTAATAATTAATTGTGTTAGGTGAATACTACGCCCTTGTATTTTTTTTTCCCATTGAAATAATTGTATACAGGGGAACAGACTTGTCTAACATTACGATTGCTATCTTCTTTTACCCCAGCCATGGATCAGATGCTCATTTTATTTTAATTATTTTTGTAATATTTATTGTATCGCAATGTACTCTCTCTCTCTCTCTCTCTTGTCGTATGTTTTTAATTTTCTGTACAACCTGTAATCTATGGCAAATAAATAAATACAAAAAATAAATACAAATACCACAATTCACAATTTTACAATGAAACACACTTTTTACATGCATATTTTAATAAATGTCATCGACGCCCAGTAAAAACACCCTGGGTTATAACTGGGGCATAAAACATCTAAAAATTGGGAGGTAGGCTTATACTCAGGGAGAGGAAGTATGGTAAAACAATAAAATTTATATGACTGGACCAGTCTAATGCATGCACAGCACATTGAACCAACTGTTTTGAATTGTCCCAGTCAACAGAATGATACTAAATCTCTCAAACCACATATGTCTGGGCATACTCTGTACATACTCTGTAGCTGAGTGATTGTGTTATATGAAGATAAGCAGAAATTAAAGCGGGAGGGTTGTCACCTGCGCACACACAAGAATTGAGTCCCAAGCGATGATAACAACACACGCTAAAAACGCAAAGACTCATGGATAGACGCTTGTTTGTGAACAATGACATGCTATGACCATCTGACACATGTGCAGGTGACGACTCCCTCGCTTTAAGAAATCAGGATCAATCATACCTCTAACCTTCACATGAAAATCTTGGGATATTTTCTGATCAGAATTACCAGCTAAACATGTGTAATTTCCACTATCTGCAATGCTAGTGTCTGAAATCTTCAGTATCCCACTGGACTGCACGGAAAAAACAAAATATGCAGGCTTTAATCTATTCACCAGCAGACTTTCTCGCAAATTTTTCTACACATTTATTCTTATATTCTTTAATATTCCTGGAAGTGAACCTTAATTTTTGAGACAACAGACAAAATTTATTTTAAGTAAATTTTCAGTTTTTAAACAAACAATTTGGTTACTTTTGTCCCAAATCTTCTGAAGGAAAGTGCAGACTATAAACAAGACTATTTTGTGAATTTGTGATGGAAAGAGGGAACTGCTGGTGAAAAGCCATATTTACGAAATCAATCAATGAATGTAAAAAAATATTGCCATATATTGGCAGCATTAACTTTATTTTTGTTGTAGTACTTATCACAACTAATCTTTAATCTAATCAACTAATCCTGTATTTCTAAGGGTTCAATAAAGTTATTATTATTATTTTGAAGAAGCAATAAATAGGGGGATACATGGTTCCAGCTTCATGTGACAATTTATTTGGAGATGACTGCATGACAAATAGCAAAAAAGGTTCTGAGTTAATATATCCATTCATTTGAGTATTAGGACTATGTGACAATTCTGTGTTTTTGCTATAGGAGCTAATATTTGATGTGTCACTCGTCTCTTCATGCACCACAAGAATTTATTTTTAATGCATTAATTATTCACTGGGTTTTAATTTCGCTATTTTCGCTGATAAGTAAACTCCACTAAATTAAACGTGAACCATTACCACAGAACTTGCCCAAGCAAACCTGACCTGGAGTAGTGCAGAAATGGTGGCAAAGGATAGACAGGAATGGAAGAACCTGATTGCAGCCTTATTTCCTGGTGTGGGATGAAAAGGACCACAAAAAAGTAAAATAACAATAAAATTCATTGTTTCTTGGACAAATTTGTGAAATTAATTTGTGAATTAAATTTCAGTTAAAATAAATGGTTTTACAGTAAGTCC